ATGATGATGATGATGATGATGATGATGATGATAATAATAGCTAATACATTTTTTATCCTCAACAGGCATAAGGGGTGCTAAATTTATATCTCTTTACAACTTTTCAACTCAGTGGCTTGCTTCGTCTGGAAACCAGCGCATGTTTATATGGCGGTGCGTGACAAAGCTACGAACAAGTTTGTCGAAAAATATTTACTTAGCTCGTGATTTTAAGCCTATTCAGGAGTTAAAGTATTGTGAAAAGTTTTTATGTAAACGCTTGTTTGTTCAGTACAGATAATCAGTCGCCTAGATAGCGAAAGTAAGTTCCAGAGGTTCACTATTTTCCGGCCGCCATGTTGGTGTACCACGGAGGTACACCAACATGGCTGCTCAATACTGGGGTCAGTAAATTTGTGCAAAATATTTCGACGAATATGTGAGGTTTGGGAAAATGCTCAGCCTTGAAACTTGGAGAAGTGTCTTCTTTATCAATCTCCTATAACATCACAATGTTTTGACTTTATCCACTGAATAGTTTCCGAATAATTTTTTTATTACGTCAGGATTGCGTAACGGTGCAAGCCAAGAATCATGTCGTTTCGAAGTGTGTATGATTTCGGCATGTATTTTGAACCGCAAGCCTTCGACAACAAGAAACTAAAGCCTGCGTTATCAGGAAAGAATGTTTTGTAGCTCAGCGACGGCAAATGGCCATGAGTTGTGGTAAGAAATCAAATGTTCCGTGTAGCTCGGCAAATGGCCATGATGACCCTCAGATCTGTGGTCAGAAAATAAATTTTCCGATTTGTAGCTCAGCAAATTTGTTGTAGCTATAACTGGTTGTCAGAAAACAAACTTTCCGTGTTGTGTAACTCGCCAAAAGGCCGTGTTTTCTGGTCAGAATGGTACCTTTGTCATTTGTGAAAACAAGTTGTAAATTCGAGCAATGTAAACAAATTTCAAAACATTTGGGGACGCGCTGTCTTGCGGGGTCGCTTGTCAAAACTTTATTTTCTCAAGAAATAAGTTTAATTGTTTCAAGCGTTGGCGATCTGAAATTGAATTCTAAGTGTCGCCAGCAGTTCACATGCCTTTCCTGGAAAATATTTTGTTCAGTACAAGTTAATACCTAATTAATTAAAAACACTTTTACCGCAGGGTTTAACTTCACGTGCAGACCGTTATCTGTCATTCGATTACACTTAGTTTTCTATCGAGCCAGTCGAACGCCACCAAAGTAGACCAAACATGCAAAGTACGCGCTTGAACGCACTGCTCTAACTTTGATCGCTACTAGTAATAATAATAATGGACTTTTAAAAGAGTGAAGTTTAAAACATCTGTTTGAATTTAATCTGCTTAATTGCTAAATCTACTTGCTTGCTATTGCTTTTTAATACTTGTTTTAAATAGTGTTAAAACACTCTCTCCGTGCAGATAAGTTTAACTTTAAATGTAAAGTAAATGTACATCTTATTTATAGTGGACATGCACTTAGCTATACAAGAACTAAGCTTAGCTACTTTACAGGCATGCCACTGAAACAAAGAAAACAAATATTGGTATTAGTAAATGGTATAACTTGGTAAAAATGGAAACAAAAGCATGATTCACACTCTTACGTTCGTCTCAATTTAGTCTTATAAATGTCTTTGCAATCACTGAAGTCATGAGGCTTCACCAATAATCAGAGTAGCCTGAGTCCTCCCAAGGTTCATGGCCATTAACCCACGCGTAATCAGACATGCCTTCAGGAATATAAACACAATCATCATCATCATCATCTCGGGCAGCACGTCCTCTGTTTCTTTGTACATCCTCCAGGCGCTTGATTTCCTTACACACCCTGCATTTCTGTTCTCCTTTCCTCAGCTGTGTTGCACTGAATTCTTCTCGTGGAAATCGTCGATGGCAGCGCGTACATTCAGTGTTAGCAGCCGGAAAATCTAGAGTTCCTTTATCAGGGATGATGTCAAGAGGTAGATACGCGTTTGTTTCATAGTCATCGAAAGACCTTTCTCTCTTTTCACGATACAGATCAACATACTTCTCGGATGCAACTCGCAGACGAGCCTGTTCTCCACCATTGACATCCTTCATCTTGTTGTACAACCTGAACATCGCCATGGTATCCACAATACAGTACTGGATAAGATCATCCGTCAGGGGTCTCTTTGTCCACACTTCGTTGTCTTCCTTTAACAGCTCTTTCCCTTTGTCCTTTATTTTGGTCAACTTTTCATCCTGGAGGTACAACTCGATGCAGCGACTTAAGCCATTTATCTTCTCTACTTCATCTGTTTTCTGGCTGCGGCGGTTGCGACGGCCACCACGACCACCGCGTTTGTTCGTGGTGGAAACTGACCCAGGAGTATTAACTGTGGAGTCGGCTGTGGGGTTTTCTCGGCGATAGATGACTTCAAGCAGCTGAAGATCCAAGACTCCGCTTAGTTTGACCTTAAACTGATGCCAAAGCGCGTCGGAATCTTGTCGGCAATCAAACGTCAACTTCTCACGAGATTTGTCTTCAAGAATTTCACCAAGTCCACTGCTGAATACGAGTTGTCCTAATTTCAACACATCGAATATGTAGGCTTTCTCCTCAGTTGCTACTGTGATGATGGTAAGCGCTCCCTTCCTGCTAAGTGAATCTCCCTCACAATCGACGGCTAAAAGGGCGTTCCGTTCAGCTATTTTCCCTTTGAGCTCAGAGATCGCATCCTTAAGACCAGTTTCATCATCGACTAATCTGTAGTCATAATCATTTGCGTTTTCGCAAGCCATTTTTGACCAAAAGTTGAGATCTAAGTCTTCGTGTGCGAAAATTGAAGTTTTTAGTCTTCGTTCCACATTTTGTTTACATTTAACATGAATTTAGCGAGTTCCAAGAATCCCTCTATCCGCTTCCGCTTTCCACGTAATAACTAAACAGATATAAATTAAAGGGAGGGTTTCACGGTTCGGCGCATGTCTCTAAATCAAAATACTTTTGTTCGCTTCTTATCAATGTTATCGCATTAAAACCCCACTTAGGTGTAGTTCAGTAATCACATGCTTTAGTTAGTCGTGGTAGAATAACGGATGACCAAAATTCTCAGAAGTTTTCAGTGGATTTTACCTACGCTGTCGACCGTTCAATTTAGTCTTGACTCGTACGATTTATTCTACGGTTGATGATTTTACGGCTATTTGCATGCAAAATTAGGTCACTTGCTTGCGATTGGTTCATAAACAATGAAAAACTGGGCCAGTGCCAAAAAGCGTGCGCAGGCGAATAAATACTACAGACATGCGCCGAACCATGAAACCCTCCCTTTAAGTTGGACAAAGACCTAAGGGTTTGTTACACAGGGGACTTATAAGGAAACTGAGCGATTTGGTAACCCCTTGTCATTCGCTACGGCTTCATGAACTGATGGCGGGTAGAATCGATAAGAAGGGTTAAGCCTGGTTTTGATTAGCGACGCAAGCACAAGCGCAAGCACAAACGCAAGTAATACGGATGACCCTAGTGAAAACGAAATCCGACGCAAACACAAGCACAAGCAAAATCATCCGAACCTTCCAAACTGTTTAGGCGCGAGGTAATCTGGACCCAGTATTTTCATCGGCCAAACATAACCAAAATGTGGAAAATATGCTTGCGCTTGTGTTATGTCTGAATGGTATTTTGTTTTCACTTGTTGCAGCGCAAACGCAAGCATGAGCGCAAGCGCAAGAAAAAGGAAAAATTTTGATCTTTGTACTTGTGCTTATGCCTGCGTCAAGGCCGTTTTCACAGTGAAATAAGAATTATTGTGTTTGCGCTTGTGCTTGCGTCCCTAGTGAAAACCAGGCTTTAAGGTACAGAAAAAAATGCCACCATTCCAACGCTCCATTACCGCTGCAAGAAGAAGGCAACTGTTCATTCTATCAGCCACATACAAACCGAAACGCTTTAGTTTCAACCTCCTGTAAGCTGATGCCTCATCTGGTGGACAGTTTCTCTGGTCTGAAGAGGTTCCGCTTACGGGAAGTTCGACTGTTAGTTAGAGGAGATATTGAGAGAAATGAGCGTGTAGAGATATAACCTACACTAAACGGGGGAAGCACCTAAAATCTCTCAAATTCGTTAAAAACTTTGCAACAGTTTATTTTTTTTATTTCAGAATACACTTTACAGTAGTTTGACTACTTATGGTTACACCTAACAAGTAAAATGAGAAATTTTTAGGAGTTGATTTTTTGGGCACGACGGTGTTTGGAATTGGCAGAGTTTTACGATTTTAGTTCTCCATTTTCTCCTAAGTTTTAGTTTCGATTGAGAAGATATATCTCGTTGATCGTCAAAAATGCTCCGATGCGCGTTGTATTCTTGATTCTCTTCACGGCGTTTGGAAATGTGGTTAAACACGGTCTTTCGTGTTTGATATATTAAGAGAGAACCTACTTGAAATTTTAAGAACAACGCCATGGTGTCTCGAACACCTTCAAATCACCTACTACAAAGTTCTGAGAGTAACGACTATGAATATTTTGGATTTAGCAGCCTTTTCTAAGGTTATTTCTTCTTTCGGTGTCGTTACTATCACGTAAATAAAACGAGTGCCTTCTGATTAAACCCGTTTTCAATGCAAAAACATACTCAAAACCGGCAGATAAAATGAAATGTTAACACTGTAAGTTCTTCCGCAGTTCAGGTTACTTTTTTCAGAAGTTTGCTTCTGTCTCTCTCTTTCTTTACGGTGAGCATAACATACAAACCTTACCTTCTATAGCTATTTTTACGATAACTGCAGAAATTCTCGCGCGCTCATTGGCTAATTTTCATTGACAATAGGCGGACAGACACATGAATTTATAATTTATGCGAAGCGTCAACGAACGAGAGCGGACAATTTGACAATTTGTTATCGTAAAAAAACAAATTGACGTCAGTTTTCAATGCGGCTGTCCTGTTATTGACAACGAATGTCGTCAAAACATTGTCAGGGTAGTCTGCGGACCCACATCTACTTTGACAATGTTATGACGAGGTTCATGATCAATAGCGGGACAGACGCATGAAAAACTGACGTCAATTTGTTAAATAGCCAATGGGTGGCATACTCCTTCCGGTCATCGAAACAGATACGATGGACCTCAAAACGTGCCTGCATACGAACATACTTCAAGAGGTGAAGGAGGTGTTCAGAGCATAAGCTACATCATGGACTGAAATGATATTCCGCTCTTTTAGTAGCAGATGTTTTGTTCTAGTTCTGTGGATACAATGAATTTCCTGTCTTGTTACACTTATTGTAGTTTGCCTTACAGGCGTAAACGGGAAAGGGGTAGGGAGACAAAAAACCCACCTCCTCCTTCTATCCCCGCTCTCCCTCTACCCCCCCCCCCCCCCCCCCCCCCCCCCCCCCCCCCCCCCCCCCCCCCCCCCCCCNAACATATATTTATCTGACCGATTTTCCAAAAACACCGTTTTAATAAATTCTGACATATATTGGCGCAGAACCCCCCCCCCCCCACCCTGCTCTTACTCGTTTGAACGCCCGCTACGTAGGCTATATACTCTTAATGTTACATCATTAAAAATATAACCTCTACTAAGACTACTATGTAGCTGGTTAAAATATGTCTGGATTTATGAAAACGACGCTAATGATTGAAAATTTCACCGTACTGGCCAAGCGTTTATCCGACGTAGACGATAAGACAATTCAAAGGAATGTCAGTCTTTTATCCTCCACGTATTTTCTTAATTAATTTATCTTCCTTTTTGTATTCTTCTTCCTTATGTTTATCGCTTGGAGTGATTTTCAGGCCTTTAAGAGTCGTAAAATCAAACTATGTTGCTTACTTGATGCAAAGGAACAAACTTTTCCTTGACACCGTTTTCAAAACTCCAGTCATAAATACATACATTATTAATAATAAACTTATATGCTCTGATCTAAATGTCCTACAAGGCTTGTATCCTACTCTTTGCACCTAATCCTTGTAGATAACCCCAGGTAACACTGACAGCATTTCAAATAAAAGATTTGCAGCAGTTAGAGCAGTGGTTCCTGTGGTGTCATATGGTGGGGAGACCTGAAGAAAAAAATTGTACCACACAAGTCGTTAATACCAACATGCAATTGAATACACAAATTCCATCAGACATTCTGGTGTGTTAAGTCTTATAGCGAAGTCTGCATTGGGCAAAAATGATACTGCTGCACATAATCTTGGTTTCCAAAGTATTAGGCGACTAAAGGAATGTTTCTATTTCCCCCTGGATGTGAAACTAGTCCATCACAAAGTTACCCCTCCATTAAATTTGCCAGTACTCACCCATTCATACACCTTGCTGTGTCGTACCCAAGAACACCGACCCTGGACAGAGCTCAAACCCATAATATTCAAGCTATTACCCAGCACACTAGCCATTGCTCACCATCTGACTCTCTGCACACACTGCAAGTGTGTCATTTTGGAGAAATTGTCTCAATTTATGATGTTACGTTACAGTGGAATCATGATTTTTTTAACCCTAAACTGTTCAAACCACTTGATTATTTTAAAAGCAACTTTTGCTCCTTCAGCAAAATAGTTTAAATAAATTTAACCTTGATTTTTCACATCAGTTTCTGTTCCCCAAGGTGGTTTTTAAAATCAGGATTCTTTAATAGCCATCTTTTATTAGTTTAATGTTCCCTCACCTCAACCATGTCTCCCCCAACAACGTTCAATCCACGGCATCCTCTCAGAATCTCAATTCCTTGTATAGATGTCAGACCTCCAATCTCAGGGGTTCCTAATGGACACGAACATGAATTGGATTTTATTCTGTTCAGATTTAGTTTACAACATTGACTAGATATTTTGTTTTCATGGCAATTGAGCAGTAACAGAACTGCACAAACAATTCAAGTAGTAAGTGGCAAGTCTGCATGTCATGGGAATCACAGCTGCACATATACCGAAAATCCTTTAATTAATACCTGACCCCTTCAAATAAGCATCCCTCAAATATCAGCCAAATAAATGCCAGCCCTCCCTCAAGCCAACATCCTCCACTGGCCTTACATGGTATCATGATTATTTATTTGCTCAAATAGGCAGCCCCCTCTGAATAAGGGCTGCCCTTCCCTGCCCCCCACCTTGACCTCTATTTGATATAAGCATCTCGAGTGCTATGAGTGATTGGGTCACAGATCAATGTCTCATTCTATTCTAATGGTGTTTGAAAATGTGATGAAACCCTGTGTCTTGTTTTTTGGATATATTGCATCTCCAAACCCTACTTGCTTTATGACTGGAACAGATTCTTTTTAACTATAAGCCTGTAATGCAATGAGGGGAACAAGTGTTAAAAAGCAGGTTGTAAAGTTTCCAGCTTTATCATCCAATCAACAAATTATCCAGTACTAGGGATTTCCAAAAGCTATCATGTTATCATGATGGTATTATGAGTTGCTTGGTAACTGAGACAAAAGTTGTGTGGGGGACAAAATGCTCAAATCCTAGGGGGGGGGGGGAACTCCCATGTGAAAAGGACAGGGATTGAAAGGAGACCAATCTGCATGGGCATGGTTTAAGCTCTTTTCGACCACTAAAAGATATAACTTTAAGCTAATTGCTATGCCAACTGAATGGAGGCCTGGACATTGTAGACCAGCAAAACTTCACGTAATCCTCTTACCAGTTCCTGGAGCAAATGCTGGATCTAACCCATCAATATCAAAAGATATATACACTGGGCCACTCCCCATTTGCTGCCGAACTTCTTCCATCAAAGGCACCAGAGATTTATGCCAACAATCCTGAGCAAGAACCAGTCTAAAGCCCTGCAAAACAATACAGGTCAGTTTATGTCAAAAATGTCTTCGGCCGAGGCAAACAAAAACAAGAGAGTTCCTGGTTACTGTGGTCAGTACTTTACATTACTTAAGGCATCTTGCTTAGCAAGAAATTAGGAAAATGTTTCACTATAAAGGTGCACCTTTTTTTAATCACATGAAAAAATTAAGGAGAATCAAAACTAGATAGCTACTAGGAACTAGGGCAAGAAGTGAGTAGAAGCTGTAGGAGTTGTGAGAGTCAAAGAGGAGAATGTGCTTGACCCATTTACCATGCAAAAATAAGAAAAAAAGGGAATACAAAAATAGTATAGCAGAGGTAATTTCAAGCCACGCCCACAAAACAAGACCTTGGTACCTCTTAGGGGTTCTTTTCAAAATTTCTGACGAGCACCCCGATCCCTTTTATATGGGAGTCCCCCACAGGGGTAATTCCTCTGTGTCTTTTGAACTCAAATGTTTACTATTGGTAAAAGTGAGTTTTGTTCACTAATGTTGCATACTATAAGTGCTATGCAAGGAGATGAATCTTACAACTTTGGTAACATTAGTAACGACCAAATCTGGGCAACTAATTTTTTTTCTCATATTTGCTTCTTGCTCATTTTTTTACCTGCTCTTCTGCCCATTTATAGTCCTTTCCAGTATAACCAGTTCCTCGTAAACCAATCTGTACGACTCGTTTGCAATCCAACAATCCCTCTTCCACTGCTCGACGGAATGGTGTCCCATGGGTCACTTTCTCACCAAACATGGAATCACTTGTGTCTGAATGTGCATCCACATGAACAAGGCCGACTGGACCATATTGATCCTTGTTTGAAAATCAAAACAAGATGAGTTAGAAATGACTCAAAAATGCTTTTCATCTATCCTGAAGCAATTTTATTGAAAGGTCCTAAAAATTTAATATTATATCTTAAATTCTAAATTAATGTAAAAACCTAATTGAATGGTGAAGATATAGGTTGTCTAAAGCAGTTTGCACAGTTGACATTCTTTGGCTTTGTCGTATTCTCTGGAAATCCCCTACCACCATTCCCCCATTAGAATTTTCATTAACTATCCTGGGGTAGGTATGGATATTTCCTGGTAATGCCTAACGTTGGAGTATTGGGTGCAGCATTCTGAGCACTGGAAAACCCCTTCCCTATAATGGATTCACAGAATGATCAACATCTACCCTATTCAAATCAATTTAAGAAGAACAGGTTGGATTCTAATAGGCTATTCCAGATGCACATCAAACTTCAAGCCTCTCAGAATATTTTTGGTAGACGTGGCATGGGCTGATCTGTGTTCCGGTGAATTCAGGCCCCCCATTAAATGGCTTTTTACACCGACAGTACAAACTGTAATTAAGGGCAACCTGAAAAATTACTAGCCAAGTAACAATGACAGACCTTGATTCCCTGAAGGATTGGATAAGTGATGGTATGATCACCACCTAAAATCAGAGGCTTGCAGCCATGACCAGCAACTGTTGCAATATGATTATGTATGATATCAACAGTGGCTGCCAGATTGTAGGTGTTGATGGGAATGTCACCAATATCAGCGATCATCAGAGACTCAAATGGTGCTGCTCCTGTGGCGTTATTATATGGGCGGAGCATACAAGATTCTGCTCTTATTTGTCTTGGACCAAGGCTGCAGACAGTAAACAACATGTTATTGACCAAGCATGTGTGCAACACAGACATATTGACTGCAGAGCTGGACGTAACAGATGTCCTATGAAGATGTTGCGTGACAATTACTACGATGAGACAATTGTCTCCTTATTGTACTAATGAAACGATTCTTCAGATCACATACCGCGTTCCAGATCGGTTTGACGCTCCCGAGTCCAATGGAATTCCCACAAAACAAGCATCTAATCCCTCGGCAGTACTCTGAACTGGAAGTCTCATCATAGACGCGATTCCACCCGAACGAGGCATGTCATTTGGACTTGTTGGAAAGTTGAAGGCTTTATTCAAACGGCTACACACAGAAAACTGACGAACCTGTACAGACGGTTTGAGTCTTATCAGGCTTAGTGGGTTGGAACCTACCAAGAAACGCAAAACACTGCTTTGCCCATTCATGTTTTATGTTCTTAGCCCCGCTTTAGAAGAACAACAGAACAGCGATTGTCCTGGAGAGGGACTGGAAAGGGCCTGGACCAGTGACTACGAACTGGGGTGGGGTGGGGGAACGAATTGGAGGTGCGAACGAGGCCAAATTATTATAAAGGGAAGTCTAACGGCCCAGGGTTTTTCATATAATTTCAGGGTTCCCGATCCCGTCTGGGTTTTTCGTCAACTCTCAACAATAAATCCATATCGAAATACGGTAAGGCAAGGGAAGCTTTTTTCAGATTCAAAAAGGCAGAACAATTGATCCTGATGGTCTGAACATCCGCGAAGAAACATATTAATTGTTTCCTTTTGTTATGTTATTTCATTATTTTATTTTACCATACGCTTATCTTTAATTTACACGGTAAGTTAGTTTTACGTTTTTTCCGGTATTATGAAAATATGGTACATAAAAACACGTCCCATTGTAAAATTCTCAATGTACCTGAAGAGGGCTGGTTTGGCCAGCCGAAATATAGTACATCTTAAAAAATCATCCTACGTTGTGTCGGTTTCTTCTTTTATATTTTTCATTTTATATGTGAAGCCGATTAGATCAATATTGATTCAACGTACACTAGCAGGATCATCGTTCCGGTTGTTTGCTTAAACATTATATAGTCATTTTCGAAATCTTTCAGCCCCAACTGCCCCCGAACGTTACCACAAAATATCATATGACCCAAATAAAAGCCTTCATATAGTCATATCAGAGATTGTAAACCCAAAAAGGGCTTCACAACTCCTTTTCACTTTTATACCCTGTGCTTTCCCCCAGAACAGCAACCCACATACCAGCTGTGAGCCCGCGCTCACCCCCTCCTCTCCCCCACCAACCCCCACCACCCCCTCCCCCAACCCCCAAGCCTTCTATTCTCGGGAAGGAACGCGGCCGGACCCGAGAGAGTTGTGGAAATCGAGCCTACGCTCTATCCTGAAAAAAAATATACCCAATTTCCCGGCACCCTGGCTAGTCAGATGCAAATGGCTTTCAACTTCGTCTTCAGGGCGCTTTTCCCGTCGAAAGTGGGAAAGGCATGTGAAGGGAAAAACGCCCTAAAGACGAGGTTGATGGACTTAATGACTCGGAAACACCATTTTGACTTCCGTGCTGAACTCACGCCATAAATGAAAAATGACGATAACAATTCATGATCTCTACGATGGCGATAATGATGATGATGATGCTGAGGAGGAGGAGGAGGAGGAGGAGGAGGAGGAGGAGGAGGAAGAAGAAGAGAAGGTAAGGATCTTAGGAGGTGGGGAGGGAAGGGGTGATTACAAAGGTCTACAGAGAATGAAGGGCGTCGTTCGAGTTTTTTAGATCTCATGAAATGCAAATCTGAGCTGGGAGAAATTTGTATTTCGCGTTTTTAAAAAAGCTCACTAGTTAGACACTTATCTTGAAAGCGAATTAATAACATAACGATTCGAAAAACATTCTTTTAACTTTTAAGTTAAAAACCAGCCATAATAGCATTTTCTAGTCTCTCACAAGGTCCTAACACGACATTCCTCCTTGCGTGACAGTATAAGTGGCAAGACTTCCGGCTTAGAACTGAAAATCCGAGGAAGGCGCATCTTTGTAGATCACTCCGGGCAAAACGCACATCATCTCATACAAAAAATTAGCGGCCAGGATTGAAGTGGCTCCGTGCAGGTCAACTGATGGATTAACCTGTACAAAATACATGAAAAAAACAAGCTGTAAGTTCGCCTGCCAATACTAAGGAATGGACTTTTAAATTACAATGCTTTAAATGAAAAATACCAACCATACGAAGGAACTCCCATGTGAAAAAGCGGCGGGCACCCTCAACGTTCGTTCAGGGGCGTATATTGCTGATTTTAGTACAGCTTACGGTATCTGGCACAAAATAAGGGAGTTCTTTTTACCCCAAGACAAGAAGTGATGATCATCCTCCCTTGTCTTAAACCAAATGAAGAAAACAACGATGTCATACTTTGACTTGTTGATGGTTAAGAGATATCTGAGACAAATTTTTCACGTATAAAAGCATTCGATCACAACGTCTTTAACGTCATTAACCTTGTTTCGTTTTTAGAATGGTATCTTTTGGGGCCAAATAAGGCGTGAGCCACGCCCGGTTTGGTCTCCTTTGGGGTTTTTATTCCATCTTCATTCTCGCCATCCTTAGTCATTCTAATTCTCACTTCCTGGTGAGTTCCTGTCATTCCTAGCCTACTCTACAAAATCAAACCGTTGCTGTCGGGTGTTAAGCTTTTCAAAGCCATGCTACAAATAAATCAGTGTTTTATTCTGCCTGGTTACAAACCTCTACCAAATCTCCACCAATTATATTCATTCCTTTAGATCCTCTGATTATCTCTAGGACTTGAATAACCGTCAAACCTCCAATTTCGTGAGTTCCTAATAAGAAACAACACATCTGGTCAAGCGTGTTTAAAACAAGTCAGATTAAAAAAACAAAGTACGTAGTATGGCAGAGGTAAGGTGCGCACCACTCAAAGAGATATTAGAGAATGAACTATTCACAGCCACATCCACTACCTATTCGCTAAATAACGTTTATGGCATTTTAAATTGAGAGAACTCTTAAGGGCAGTTTCAACTGAGGGTCGTGGAACCAAAACCAGGGTAATCATCTAGGCCAGTCAAAAAAGACACAGACAATCCAATAAGCCCATCAAAGTTGACTTAAAGTGGTTTTCAATGGAATGTCGTAAAACCCAAACCAAAGTAATCACTCTAGCCAATCACAAGGGACACAGACAATCCATTGAACCAATCAAAACTCGAAGTAAAAACACGTAGATGACGCAAAGCGCGGAAAAACGCGTGCGAACGAGTCACAATTGGTTTTGATTTGACTTCTGATTGGATGAAAAAGTGGCGCGAGATTTTTAAGCTAATCGTGTGTCGCAGCAATGCAAAACCAATTACTTTTCGACTCTCAAATGAAAACTGCTTTATCTATGAACTACAAATACTGACCTGTCCCAGGGGCGTAGCCTGGGTCGATGACGTCAATATCAAAACTGATGAAAACAGGTGCGTCACCCATAAGCTCTCTGACCTGCGCCATTAGGGGCTCCATGGACTTATACCAGCAATACTTGGCGGGAACTATTTTAAAACCCTGCATTGAAGAAACAAATCGCATTATTCCACCAGAGGTTTTGCACGATTTGACTCCGAAAGTCGGGCTTGAGTTTGCATCAGTTTCGCGCGCCGGCCTTGAACTGAAATGAAACTTTAATTGCCCAATATTGTCATGGGTCGAGGAGAGTAGGGGACCTGTGCTCGATTCCTCGTCAATGCATTGGACACAAAAGCAAAATTTTCGGGAAGATAATAATAATGAGCTTACATGGCTTCTTCCAAATTCGTAGTCGACAGGAGAGTTTCCAGTCCCTCTCAAACCAATCTGGACGACTCGTTTGCAGTCCAGCAGTCCTTCTTCCACTGCGCGGCGGAATGGTGTCGCGTTGGATATTCGTTCACCAAACGTTGTTTCAGATGTATCTGGGTGGGCATCAAGGTGTAACATGCCAACAGGACCATATTTATCCTGCACAGAATAATCACAATTACAGTGAAACCTCGTTTGTCCGGTAACCAACAGGCCACAAAAAGTTGGCCATATTAACGGGGTGGCCGTATAAAGGGGTTCTTTAGGTAAGTAAACGACTTACTGAGCTTTTATTGGGGTCAGAATAAAATGACTGTTGATATTACAACGGGTTCTGATTGATTAGTTTTACGGCGGCTCTACGATATGGTCTGATATACTGTACATAGTTACGTTGTCAATCCCGCATCCCGCATCCCGCCATCCCTTTCCACTCGGAATGTTTATCCCGATCCCACCTGGTTAGAGTTGCAGTTCTCCACGTAACATCCGTTAAGTTAACCAATAACGTACATGTTTTCTTTTTTCATCGCCCGTCCCGCAAGGCACTCTTGCATCCCCCTTGTCAATATGGGCAAATCCCGCTCCCGCCGTAGTATATCTATCCCGCATCCCGCCATGAAAATTCGGTCATTACGCATCCCGCTTCCATTTTTTTTCTCTCATACCGCCTCTCGGTAAATCTAGGATGAATTTGAACTACAGCTGTTGGTCTGTAACTAGAACGTAATTCAAATTGCTCTTAGTCTCCCCTTAAGGAAGTGTGCAGAATCTCTTATATGACTTATAAGTGTACTATAGAGAGATCTAGGTTCACTGCAGCTACGCGTTGTGACGCAAAAAACGCAACAACAAAAGAACAGGACCTTTAGCACAAGTAAAGGATGTCGTCGATTTAATTTAATTCGTTACTGAATTAAAAATAAGAGGCAATTGTTTCATTAACTTTGTTACTAACATGGAATGAAAATTGCTTTAATCTTCCGTTCCACTGATTTTTACAAACTATAACCTTATTAACAACACCAACTTGTACATCAAGCTCTTGCCTGTGTAACAATTACAACGCAATGAAAAGGCAGGCTTCGTTTGGCACAATTCACAAATGCAAATTCTCAATTCCACAAAATATTTCTACTTGAACGGTGATCAAATGTATCTTCTCCTTAAGAACAGAACGTGTGCGCCATTTTTATCGTCATAGATCTTCCGAAGCATGCACAGTACGACTGCTGACCAACACTTCAGCGGGAACCTGTGAGGCCCGGTTTACACGTCGATGCATGTCTTAACAGGTATCTCCGGTTTTGAAACCAGTTTCTGATCTGCAGCTCTTTCATTTCCAGGGCACTCGCCAACAACGCTCGTTCGTCACGAGTTAAGTATTGTTGGCGTGAAAAGATGTCTTCCAAATACTCGAGTTGAAACTGCGAGAAGCGACTTCTGTTACGCTTCTTTTTTGTGATTTCTTTTCCACTTGTCGTACTTCCATTAGCTGGTTCTTCGACAGTCCCCCTGCTGGTGTTGTTTTCTGACATGGAAAGAAAGTAGAGATCAGATGATTCAATATAATACCACAGAAAACGCACCTCTGCACTTTTACCGACCCGGGGGTCGCACTTTTTAGGGGTCAAAAGTCTTATAACTTATGGTGTACTACATCGAATTCCATATTTAAAATGGCACCTATCTAGCTTATTGTTTGATCTGAGAATAAAAACGAGCCCTAAAAAGAACCAGAGAGACATAAAAAACATTGAAAATAATATTTAATTGAACCTGTTTATGAAGCTGTTCGATACAAAACCGTGATACTCCCGCCGGCGGTACTTTTTTTAGGACTTCCGAGGGACATCCCCGTCACTTAAACATGGCAGTCCCCCGGGGAAGCACCCCAGGGTAACTTATTTTTGTTTCCCAAGTTGATATTTCTCTATCTCCTTTTGATTCAACGCTAGAATTGCTCACAATTTTAGTCACGTTTCAATGTTCAAATTGCCATCCAGCCCGGCAGCAATGAGAAGAAACACGACTAAAATTCCGGGACAAATAGCAAATTTCGTTTCACAAAAGAGCGTTGTTACATATGAATTCACTCAAGCATAAATATATGTTACGCGTTTATAAGGATGTGACGGCATGCTTGAAAGTAAATAAACTAATAAAAACGCAATTTTTAAGCCGCTTTGACCTCAGTTGTTCTCATCTGAGCCACTTCTGAAAGATATTTAACACCTCTAGCGCTAAAAGTTTTAAATGCAGTGTTTAATTATAAAAAACTCGTTCTTTGTATTCTATTCAATACATGTCAGCTTAAATGTGCTTACGTGGGCAACAATTGTGACAACGAGATGCTAAAATAAAATCAGTACATGCATACAAATGAAGACGCTAAAAATCACCTTCCTTCATTCCTCCGGTCAAATGATTTTGTTTCTGTTCTTGGACATCACCGGGATTTCGGGAGACGTCGTTCTCAGCTGTTTGAGGGCTACATACTGTGTGCAAACTTTTACCACCACTGGCTCTTATTTCATTGTAGCAGCAGTGAGGAAGTCTTTGAACGGGTAGTAATCTCATTGTGAAAAGCAGAACTTTTCTTCTTTGTCTTGAAGGCGTCTCACGTACGATCGACGGTATTTTACTAATGCGAGAAGGATGTGGGAAGTCTGAACGAAGAATGTTAGCGATGGAGAAGGGTAAATTTTCCGCCATGACGCTTTTTACAAACGCAGCAAAAATTAAACGGGAAAAAGACATGTCAGCGCTTCCACAAGGCAGGCCTGGACACATACTTCATTAGCACGTGGAAATTCTGCACGCTTAGGCCCAGTTTAGACGTCGTGCTTCTGCCGTGTCGAACTAAATTCAGGAATTAAGTTCGACAAAAGTACGGCAGAAGTACGGCGTCTGAATCAAACTTTTGAATTAAGATCGGCAA